GGGTATGTTGAGTGAGCAAGAAGTGAATCCTTCTTATGATAAACTTCCACAGTGCTAGGGTTATTTTTTTTTGCCCCTGCTAACCTAGTCTATCCTGACCAATACAAAGACTCGAGTATGTATTAGCAAATGGCTCTACGGTTGGTATACAGCAGGTACCTAGTAAATATTCATGAAATCAATCAATGAGACCTGTCACCAATATTATATGAAAATGCCAATTTCATTGCTTTATCAATAGCAAAAGATTGTATTATTTGAGTGTTCTTACAACTTAATAGGCAAAAGTGTTGTTTTGGCCTTATTTTAATTTGTACTTATCTTTCTTTGCTTATTGGAAAGGCGGAATGTTTTGTCATCTGTTGTTAGCCAATTCCTCTTCTGTGTGTTATTTTACTAAAGCTCAGGAGTCTCAGTAACTATTTATTCTCAGTAACTATTGTCTGCCTTTGCTATTCTAAGTATTGGGGCTGCAGTGGTGAATAACCTTGCTGTCATGGACTTTTATTCAGGAGGAGAGAACAGTGACATATAAACAAGTACTTACCTATTTTAGGTAATGGTAAATGCTATGAAAAGTAAGTCCAAGTAAGGGGCTTAAAGACTGGCTGGTGGCTGGGTACGGTGGCTCATACCTATAATCCCTGTACTCTGGGAGACCTAGGCGGTGGATTGCTTGAACTCAGGAGTTCAAGACCAGCCTGAGCAAGAGCAAGACTCTGTCTCTACTAAAAATAGAAAAACTAGCTGGGTGTTGTGGGGCCTGTAGTCCCAGGTACAGTGTCCGGCAACACCCTGCACACTCTCTCGTCTTATCTCTCTAATCTCATCTCCCACTGCTCTCTGCTTTAGCTGGATTATCTTCTTGCTGTGTCCCCAAGACATCTAGCATGTCCCTTCCTGTCTTGTGGGCTTTGTATGTGCTGTCCCCTTGGCCTGGAACCCCCTTCTTCTCAAGATCTGCTCGGTTCATCTCCTTGTTTAAAGTGACGTTATCAGAAAGACCCTGTGTAACCACAGCCAGCCACTGTTTTTTCTTTTTGAGACAGAGTCTCAGTTGCCCTGAGTAGAGTGCCGTGGCATCATTACAGTAGCTTTAAACTCTTAGGCTTAAGTGATCCTCCTGCCTCAGCCTCCCAAGTAGCTGGGACTAGTACAGGTGCGTGCCGTAATGCCCAGCTAGTTTTTTTATTCTTAGTAGAAACAGGGTCTCACTCTTGCTTAGGCTGGCCTCAGACTCCTGAGCTCAAGTGATCTTCCTGCCTCCACCTCCGAGAGTGCTAGGATTACAGGCATGAACCACCATGCATGGGCCCATATTTGGTATTTGTAATGACTCCAGAAAATTTCATTTTAGAAATCAAAAGAACAGGGTACTGGGGTGGATAAAGTGCTTGATTTCCAGATTTGAGGGTAAGTCTCGATTGATTTAAAGCCATTGTGGTTGCATGCTGCCAACATCTGCTGTGATTTTGGAGAGGTTTGGCAGGGAGACTCCCTCTTCTGCTAGAGATGGACAAGGAAGCGTGCTGCTCGAGGCTTCTAATGGAATTCTTGTCTCACTGAAGGAAACCGGCCTTAAGATGAACTTGACAGCACAGAAAGCAGAGAAAAGAGATAAGAAGAAAGCTGCATCTTTTGTGACATTTTTATTGTGTCCTTCCTCACCTGAAATCTATTCAGAGACTTTTCAGTGACATGAGCCAGCACACTCTGCATTACGGTTTACACTGGTCTGGCCTGTGTTTTCTGTTACCTGCCACCAAGCGCGTCCTGACCCATCTAAGCAGCTTTCCCGTACATGCTGTCCACGGTTGTCAGTCAAAGTGTTCTCTCCCCACCTGCAGCCTTAGAACACAGGAAACAGCCACCCCACCAAATCTGCAAACCATTTGAGGATGAGAATTGGAGGTTTACATCATGCTCTGTGAGAGGAAAGGCCACCTTTGGAGCATATGCTGCTCCAAATCTGGGAGGAATGGATCCCAGACCTGTCAGAGCGGCGGACAGCCCCTGGCATCAGGCAAGTTCGGCTGCTCGCCCAGCAATGAAGGCCAGCCGTTCTTCTCTAGGCAATTGCTTCACTGACACTGAAGTGTCTGTAGTCATCCTTACCAATCGCCGGACCATCGGATGGTCATCCTGCATCCCAGCATCCTGCTTTTGTTTCTAAAAGTCCTCTACCAATTCGTCCTCCTTAGGGGATGGTTTAGGTTTGTGGTGAGGAGAGGCAGTGGAATCAGACTGCCTGGACGTCCCTCCTGGCTCCTCCCCAGCTGGTAAACCCAAAGGAGTGGGAAGTGCCCTGGGGGTGAGGGCAGCAGGCAGATCTGGGCCCTGAGTGCCAGCCTCAGTGCACAGGGCCACCCCTTGAGAGTGTAGGGTTGCTACACAGAAATCCCAATTGTCCTAGCTAGCCTATTCTCCTAAATTGACTTAGTGACCAAGACCATCAGCAGTTTGGGGTCTGAGTCTAAGATCCACCACCTCCAGGGTGTAAATTTCTTTAAGCCTCAGTTGCCTCATATAAAATGGAGACAAGAAGAAGGAACTTCTTCCCTCAAGTTGCTTGGAGGATATGTGAATTACCACGTGTAGTCTTAGAAAATGTCTGCCACCATCTCAGTCTGTTTGGACTCCCATCTCAGACTGTTATAACAAAGTACTGAAGTCTGGGCGGCTTAAACAGCAAATTGATTCCTCACAGTTCTGGAAGCTGAGAAGTCCAAGGTCAAGACACTGTCGGGTCCAGGGTCTGATGGGGGCTGCTTCCTGGTTTGCCCATGGCTGTGTTCTCCTTGTACCCTCCCACGGCAGAGAGTGGATGGATCTCTCCGGGGTCCTTTTTCTAGGAGAACCAATCCCATTCACGAGGGACTCCATTCTCACGACCTCATTGCCTCCCAGGGCCCTACCTGCCAACACCATCACACTGGGGGTTAGGATTTCTACATAAGGATTTGGGGCAGGGACTCATCCACCTGCAGTCCATAAGAGGCACCTGCTAAGTGTTCAATGAATATTAGCTAGCAGGTCGCTTGCAACTTCCTAAGACACAAAGTTACAGAAATACCAAGTGCAAAAATGAAAGAAAGGAAGAGGAAAGCATACACAAAGCAGAGTACTGCTGAATGTCCGGCAGGAAAAGAAATGGTTGGGACGCCTTTCAGTAGGGCTCAATCTGCCCTCTCCAGCCTGGGTGGAGTTTCTGGGCTGGAACCAGAGAGACGGAAGGGGAAGCCCAGCTATCCCCTTCCTGTTGCCACCAGTCTCTGAGGCCAGTAGCCGGTGAGGCTTTTTGTTTGCTTTACTGCTGCCTAATCCTCTTCCTAACAATAATAAGTGTTCTTCACTTTTTAATTTCACTTCACGTTTTCAGAGCCTCTCCTATCTCTCTTTATTCCCCCTCCTACCTGATCCTCCCAACAGAATCAGATAGAGCCTGTTGCTTTCCCAGTTTATAAACAGGGAGAGGGGGGCTTGGGCTCTTGGCTCACATAAGATTCCAAAACATAGGCCGGGCACAGTGGCTCAGGCCTATTGTTGGTGCACTCTGGGAGGCGGGGGGATCGTATGAGTTCAGGCGTTCAAGACCAGCCTGAGCAAGAGTGAGACCCCATCTCTATTAGAAATAGAAAAACTAGCCAGGCGTTGTGGTGGGTGCCTGGAGTCCCAGCTACTCAGAAGGCTGAGGCCAAAGAATCTCTTGAGCCCAAGAGTTTGAGGTTGCTGTGAGTTATTACACCGTGACACTCTACTTAGAGTAAAGGAGTGAGACTCTAGCTCAAAAATAGAAAAAAACAAAAGATTCAAAAAGGTGCCAAGATCATGGATTTTTTATCCATTGTTGTCATTTTTTAATGTTCAAGATTTCTTACAATTCGAACAAGTATTGCTAATTTTTTCCTTATCCTTTAATAATACTCAAAATGTCTTACTATTAAAACAACGTGTTAAGGATGAGTAGCTGGTATTGAACACCGTGGGCACCAGGCACCGTTTGAAGCACTTATACATATTAAGTCATTTACTCCTCACAGCACCCCAAGAAGATAGCTACTACTAGGACTTTTCTCCTTTTACAGGTGACATCACTGAGGCCCAGTGACCCGCCACTATTAGGTTTAAACTCAGGTGGTTTGGTTCCAGAGCCAACACTCTTAACTAGGACACTGGTTTACGTGTTCTTGGTGGAACTTTAATCACATCAGAAAAGCATTAGAAAATAAGAAAAATTTAAAAATAATTATAATCCTAATACCAGATGACTGTTAACATCTGGTTTATATAAATGATTATAAATCACACATGGGAGGTGGGAGAAGGGAGCATGTATTAGAATTATTTAGGGAGCTTTTTTTTTTTTTTTTTTGCAGTTTTTGGCGGGGGCTGGGTTTGAACCCGCCACCTCCGGCATAGGAGGCCGGTGCCCTACTCCTTGGGCCACAGGCACCTCCCAATTTAGAGAACTTTTGAAATATTCACATGTTTAAGATACTTTACTCAAGGAGGAAGGATAGGCATGAGGATTTGGGGGGAAAAATTGAGGTGATACTAACAAATAGCGTCTGTGTTTCCCTTCCACTCCCCAAAAACCCCACCACCACCCCAGTTGAATCCCACTGAGTGTCCCTCTGGTCTTTCTTCTACACAGAACTACATATGCTTACAGAAATACACACTATAAATGACAAATCAAAAACTAATAAGTGGAATAAGAAAAATACCTAAGGAAGTAGTAGATGCTGGCACATACCATAAAAAAAATTCTTTTTCTATTTTTAAAACTTCTTATGTTCAGCTGGGATCTCACCATATTGCCCAGGCTAGTCTCAAACATCTAGGCTCAAAGAAGCCTCCTACTTTGGCCTCCCAAAGTTCTGGGATTGCAGCTGTGAGCCACTGTAATGCAGCCTCATGATAAAATACTTAATCGCTCTGGATTCTTGCTGTACGTCAAGGGCACATTAGTAAGACAAATCCAAGTTTCTAGGCTGGAATCTGACAGGTTTATTTTGGCATCAATCTCCCTTGCTGTGAATTTGTTGTTTTGCTGTTTAGCATGTGGAAGTGCCAAGCTATTCCCCTGCCCAGGTTCTCACAGGGGCTTGCACCCTGGCTGATTTGTGCTGTGTAGTTTTCCAGACACAGCCTCGTGCCAGTGCGTTGGAGAAATGCCCGTGTCGATATTATTCTCCATTCAGGCCAGCTCCAGGGCTTGGGGCAGACCCAGCAGGATGCCTGGTGCATTCAGGAAGGAGCAAGACCCGAGCTGTGGAAAGGAGAATGGGAGCATGTCTGCTCCCTGTCATAGCCCAGCACGGGTCTGGTCACACTTGTCCCCGGGGACTGATGTACTCTTCTGTCCCCCTCTGTGGGCCAAGTGCTCTTTATGGGCAGGTGCAGGTCTGGTTCATTTGTCTTTCTTCTTCTTTGTATCCTGGTTGCCTGGAATAGCGCCTGGAACAGAGAGGGAGCAGCACATTTCTGCTGGGATGAATAAGGAGCATAACCACAGCGAATTCTTCCTGAGTGCCTCCCTGTGCCTCAAAGGCAGACTAATAATACAAAAGTTTCTGTAAGGCTGTTGTCCTTTGCCCCAGGTCACACAGATAAGACGCTAGCAGCCATCAAAACCAAGATGCTTTGCTCCAAAATTCAGATTCTAGGTCTCCCTCCTCTGTGTTGCCTCCCTCTCTCCTGCAAGTCAGTGACCCTAGTGGTCACCTTGGGGCCTCACTTTATTAGTCGCTCCCCTGATCAAGACCCTTCAGGGCCAGACTCTCTAGCACAACATATGAGGCTATCTATGGCTGGTCCCTGTCCCCTGTCAGCTCACCTCCTACTCCACTGTCTACCAGCTGTGTGGCCTTGTCTATGGCACTCTAACCTCTTCCCACTGGGGCTCCTTGACTGCAGAATGAGGGTAGTAATGGCAATGACATCATAACCATCATAGGGCACTACGGGGACTTGATAATCATTGGCTGTAGGCAATGCGTAGAACGGGGGTTCATAAACTTTTTAGTAAAGGGCCAGCTGGCAAATATTTTTTGGCTCTGGAGACCATATGGTCTGTGTCACTATAAGTCAAAAGTAGTGCTATGGTCTGAATGTTTATATTCCCCTCAAATTCACACACTGAAATCCTGACCCTGCTAAGGCGATAGTATGGGGGGGTGGGGCATTGGGGATATGATTAGGTTGTGAGTGTGGCGCACTCATGGTCAGCGCCATTATAAAAGAGTCCCGAAAATGCTATCAAGCCTCTCTGACCACGTGAGGACATGGTGAGAAGGTGCCATCCAGGAACCAGAAAGCCTTCACCAGACACTGAATGTGCTGGGGCCTCGATCTCGGACTTCTCAGCGTCCAGAACTGTGAGACCTAATTTCTGTTGTTCATATGGTACCCAGTCTCTGGTGTTCTGTTACAGCAGCCTCAAAGAGGCCAAGACCTGCAGCCACAGACCATGTGACAAGGCATGCGTGTGCTGCACACTGGCACACCTTTCCTTGCGGACACTGAAATTAGAATTTCAAGTAACTTTTGTGTGTCACGAAGTAGTCTTTTTATTTTTATCCCCAGCCATTTAAAAATGTAAAAACCTCTCTTACCTCATGGGTAGCACACACACAGCAGGCGCTGGGCTAGATGTGGTTCACAGGCTGTGGTCTGCTGACTCCTGCTTTAGGATGGTACCTGGTACAAAGGAAGACCTTAATAAATCTGAGAGACACCGTGTGACATAAGGAGACAAGTAGGAGGTCTATAGGGTGCCAAGGACTTTGACTTGAGATGTGTTAAGTATAACAGGTGGATTTAAGGACCCAGCGTCTGCTGAGCACTGTGGCCAGGCACCACTTTCTGTGCTTCCTCCCACTGGGTTCCCACACTGACCCTGCACTTTACACCTGTTCAAGACATGACAAGAGAGGCTCAGAGAGGTTAAGCAACATGCCCAGAGTTGCACAGCTTTTACAGAGCAGAGCTAGAAGTTGAACCCGGGTTTTAAAGAACACCAAGGCCATGCTTTTTCTATTACACCATCATTTGCTGAACACACATATTTTTTTTTGAGAGAGACAGAGTCTCACTTTATTGCCCCTGATAGAGTGCCATAATGTCACAGCTCATAGCAACCTCCAACGCCTGAGTTTAGACGAGTCTCTTGTCTAAAGTCTCTTGTCCCAAGTAGCTGGGACTACAGGCACCTGCCATAATGCCCAGCTATTTTTTTGTTGCAGTTAGGCTGGGCCGGGTTTGAACCTGCCATCCCCATTATATGGGGCTGGCGCCCTACTCTCTGAGCCACAGGCGCCGCCCTGCTGAACACATATTTTATTAAAAACCTATGATGTGCAAAGTACTGTGCCAGGTTGAGGGACACAGTGGTATAAAATATTTAGCTTTGACTCCCCCCTCCCAGAACATAGACTCTTGTAGGAGACCAGACACCCAAATAAGTCATTATAACTCAGGTGACAACCCTTATAGTAAGAATGCGTGGGAGGCACTCAGAATTGATGGTTCTAACCCATGTTTGGAAAATCGGAGAAGGCTTCCTGGAGACAGCAACATCTCAACTGAGACTCAACGAGAAAGCCCCAGGAAAGCATGAAATGGGATAATAATCCTAAGCTATAATTTCTTGCCTGCTCTAGCAGGTTGCCAGGTAGGGCATCTGGTGGCCCGGCACCCTTCTCAGGTAGGTCCCTGTGCCTTTCATCCTGGGCTGTCCTTCCGCCTCCAGCCTCTCTCACCCTGAAATGCTATCACAGATTAGCTCCCCCACCCCCAGGAGACAGAACTCACCCTGGCTCTGCTTTCCTCATTACTTACTGGATATGTCCCACGAATCAGTAAACCTGACTCGAGAGTTGGGTGGTGGGAGGGGGTTGCCGCGGGCAGGGGTCACTTCTGGAGCACGGGTTTCCGCCCTCTCCAGGCCCCCCCACTTCCTCCCTGGAGCTGCAAACAAAATCCTCCCTTTGTCTTGCTGGGAGCGACCCGCCCACCTCCGGCCATAAGGATCTCAGTTTCTACTTGAACTCAGCAAAATATTTTCTCCACAAACACAGCTCTACCTTCCTAAGAGGCATTTTGAGAAATAAAAAGTTCTCCTTACACATCAGGTGACCCTCCAGGTGAGCCAGGAGAGCTGTTACTGTCTCCATTTTACAGATGGGGAAACTGAGTAACTAGGGACGGTGTCGGGAGCTCAAGGCAGGATTGTCTAAATCCAAAGCCTCCTTTCTCAGCCACTCGCTATTCTGCTTTCTAAAACCACTCTGGTTGGGTCTGGGGAAGGCTGGGGAGGAGACAGCCTGAGAGGGAAAGCAGAGAGGGTGAGTGTAGCCAGGAACTGGGTTCCTAAGAGAACAGTTGTTTTACTAGAGACACCGGTTCCCAATTATTTCTACCTCCACAGTGTTAGGGAGAATGTTTCTTACTCTGTTCCAGAGTGAGAGAATGGGACGAGATTGGCCAAGGGACAGACACCCCAATAGGCAAAGCTTCTTCCTAAGAGAAACACAATTGCCCTTATGGCTTATGGTGCTCAGTTTGGGACTAGCCTAGATCAGAGCATCCTGGCTTGGGGCGCATTCTGCTGCTTCACCCAACCACATCCCTAAAGTGGCTATGCAGTTCTTTGATAACTGAGCAGACTCTAAGGAGGCAGAGAGAAGAGGAAACTGGAAATGAACAGAGAGGAAAAGGAAGCAACAGAGAGCTGATTCTGTATCCAAAATAGTAATTTGAGATTCAAAATGAATTCTGCTATTGAAGCCAGAAACTGGAGACATTCACATGATCTTGGCCTAGCTCTTTGGAGAGCTTGATTTTAAATCTGGGGAATGGAGTTACTGTGAAGTCAAAGGCTCAGAGTATGAATCAAGGCCTCATTTTTGGAGTCTCTAATCTGGGGATGGAGTCACTGGCAGAGTCTCAGGTGCTACAAGTGGGGAGCCTCCCCGTGTGGGTGTGTGAGCATCCTGGCCAAGCATGTGCCGGAGGAAGGCAAAGGAACAGCAGAAGGAGCCCTGCCTTCAGGAAGCCCTGAGCTGAAGCTGCAAAAATCTGCTTCCTCTCCAACCATGAAGGTCATGGTAGGATGACCTACCTCAAGCTCTGCCCCTTGAGGGCAGCTCTGTTCCCCGTACCCCAGGCCTATCCTCATTCCCTACCCCCAGCTGAATCACAGACACCCCTCTCCACACCCCCCTCTAATCTTTGCAATTCTGCTCATGGAACCAAAGGTCAATGTCACAAGGATAAGCACTGGCTGGCCCCAGTGGGTCCTCTTCTGCTTCACGGGGGTAGCAGGGGTAGCATAGAACTCAGCTCTGGCGCTAGGAAATCCTCTTCAACATCCAAGGCAAAGCCTGCCCCGAATGGAGCCTGGTCCGAGCTGCGAGCTGTTCTCTGCTGCAGCTCCTGGGTGTGCTGGAATGAGTGGGCAAAGGCATGAGGTGGGGATTGATGAGGGCCTTGATGAGGGCCTTATGCATGTGAGAGGCTGGATGAGCAGGTGCAGGAGTATCGAGGAGTGAGGTGTCTTTGTGGACATGTAAGTGGACCAGCTGGAACAGAGCGAGGCATCCACGTAAGGATTAGCAGCAGGAACACGTCTGTGAGGCTGGACTGTTTAGGGGCGGGTGGCCAGACTGACATGTTTGAACTTTTTATCCTGTAGGCAATGGAGAACTCAGAGTGAACACAGACATTACTTGGCTGTCCTGGATTAAGACTTGGTATAATTGAATTCTAATTTTGTGTTTGGGTTCTATGTCTTTTCTTTCCCTCCCTCCTTCCCTCTTTCTTTTCTTCCTTCTTTCCTTCTCTCCCCTGCATTTTCCCAATTCTAAAGTTCTATGCATTGTATCTTTTGTGTCGCTGGCAACTAATTACCAGCTCCTGGGACTCTTCACAGCAATTGATGAGAAGGTTAGAAATGTGACAAGTTCTTTTTTTCTTTTTTCGAGTGAGATTAGCCAGCGAATTGCACATTCTGTGCAGAAGGCAAAGTGTCTAATTTCTCACCTCTGAGACTGCCAGATCCTGCCCTGCTCTACCAGAGACTTAATTTATAGTCAGGTTACCATGGGAGATTCCATCTGAAGCTGGAATTTGGGTACCTGTCTTTCCAATCTTAGCAGAACACTGATTCTTCACCAGGGTCAAATTTGCTCCTCCAGGGACACTGGCAATGTCAAGAGACATTTTGATTGTCAAACCTGGATGGGAGGAGCGATGGTCCTGGCACCTAAAGGGTAGAGGCCAGGATTGCTACTGAACTCCACAGCGCACAGGATGAGACAGCCCACTACAAGGAGGTAGGCAGCCCAGGGTCACTGGGCCAGAGATTGAGAAGCCTGAGACCTCTGACCACGAAAGAAGATAAACTGAGTCAGTGCCTGTGTGGCTAGGGAAGGAATGGGGCAGGAGGATTGACCCCAAAGAGTGAACTAATTGGGAACCACTGCTCTGAGAAGCATTTGGTATCAGAGAGAAAACCAGAACTTTTACAAGCAAACAGTCCCTCTTTTTAACTCCCTCTCCTGTAGAGATGTTAACATTTTAGTATACTGTCCCACCAATGTTTAGTCAACCAAAAACTTCCCACCAAAAGCCACAACTTGTCCAGTTTCTAGTGAAACCTGGTGTGTTCACTGTTTCTGGAAGTCTGTGGGCAAGAGTGACCACCTCTGTGCTTGGCTCCGCAGCCCTAACAGACCTCAGCAGTGGAAGGCTCGCTCTCAAGGCTTTGATTTTCCGGAAACGTCGTTAATACTCTTGCAAGAGAACAGCCACCGGACATCAACGTGGGCTGGGAAAAATCTATCAATGAAGCATTTTCTTAGTCTAAAAGGTAAAACATTGTACTTGATCCTCCTGATAAGAATTTAGTTAATTATTAACTCACTTTTGGAGAAAGTGGGGGGGGGGTGTTCTCTCTGATCTCTGTGGTTAGCAGTGAAATAATGTCTCACAGAGATCTGATAGTCTCAGCTGCCAGGCAGATACTCAGCCCTGTCCTTCCCTCTGTCTGCACTCACTCCCCGGTGTTCTCATCCAGTCTGAGGCTTCAAACCCTCTTCTACTCGCGATGGCCCTCGGGCTACTGGGTAATCCTGTGATGTTTCCCTGACCCTACTGCTCTCCACTCTTTCCACTGAAGGGTCGCCGCACGCCTTTGCTCTCCTCAAAGCTCCAATAAGCTGCACTGATAACCTCACCTCCTAGTTCCCCAAGAAACCAGAAGATGCTTCCACCCACGTCCACCTCGTCCAGCTCATCTACCCAGGGGGATCCTGCCCTGCTTTCCCTGTGGTCACTGTGGTCTCACCCCTGCTGCGCTCACCCAAGGCCCACTCCGCCCCTTGCCCTTGGGGAGTAGATCCCAGCCCCTCAGCCTGCTCTGGAACTTCACTTGCCTTCTCTCTCTCCTGAATTCATCCTCTCCCATCCTCTCAACTGGATCAATGTCTATCAAGTCATTTATCACGTACTCTAATAAAAGTCTTCCTGGCCCCACATTTCCCAGCTCCTGTTAGGGAGTTGCCTCCTCATCCTGTAATGAAAAAAAAATTTTTTTTTTGAGACAGAGTCTCACTCTGTCACCCCAGGTACTGGTGCCGTGGCATCATCATAGCTCACAGCAACCTCAAACTCTTGGGCTCAAGAGATCCTCTTGCTTCCCTACTAGCTGGGAATACTGGTGCCCACTATAAAGCCTGGCTAGTTTCTCCTATTTAGTAGAAACGGGCTCACTCTTGCTCAGGCTGGTCTCCTACTCTTGAGCTCAAGCAGTTCACCTGGCTCCACCTCCCAGAGTGCTAGGATTATAGGCAGGAGCCACCACACCCAGCTCTTTTCCTGAATTTTTATTCATACTTGCATTTCATCAAACCATCAAAACCTACTCTTGTCAAGGTCAACATGACCTCCACTTGGCCAGACTGGATGGTTAATTTTCAGTTCAATAGCATCCAGCCCATCACTCCCCCTCCTTGACACACTCCCTGACTGCTCGGGAGGACACGATGACTTCCTGAGCTGTGAGATGTCTTCAACCTGGGAAGATTTAGAATTTAGAATTAAATATACAGATGACAGGGTAAATCAAATTCATAGTGTTAGTGGTTTTAAAATATACTGATTTGGGAAATAATTTGTTGTGCATTTGATATTTTTAAGCACTTATAGTGTTTCGATGAATTTACTATATTAGGGAAAAATTTACTATATTAAGATTGACTTTTATAAGAAAATTAAATTTATAATCAGTTATGGAATATATAAAATAACTTTGAACCATTATATTACATTTATGTTTAATCTTATTAGTTTTACAGGAATGACTGAAGTAGTCAGGATTTTTCTTTTTAGTTAGTTAATTGGTAGTCAGCTTTTCTTTCTTTCTTTTTTTTTTTTCTTTTTGCAGTTTTTGAAAGGGGCTGGGTTTGAACCCACCACCTCCGGTATATGGGGCTGGCGCCCTACTCCTTTGAGCCACAGGTGCCCCCCCTTTGTAGTCAGCTTTTTAACATAAGAAGGCACCAAACCTCGTCTCCGGGATCAAACTTTATGGCTTTAAAAAGTAGTGCAGATATTATTAGCTCTACACCCATAAAAATTACTGTGTACCTCAGTTTCCCTGTATATGAATCAGGGGTGATAATCATATGAGATGTTCGCTAGAATTACTGTGAGAATTAAAGTTGATATAAATTGTTCAGGGCAATGTCTGTGTATGGTAGGGGCTGTAAGTGTTAGCTGTCATTGGAAAGCAAATCAAACATATTAAATCTACAAGTGCAGTTAAAACCCTTTAAAG